TACGACCCAATGGGGTGCTTGTAACTATTCCGCCAACCATGAGTTCTTCGTTAGTTAGAACAAGATCCAGTATCGACGGCCTGTTAGCAGTTCGAAATCTGGTGGAAGAGGTTACGTGACTGAATAGAGGGTGGCTATCAATAAGCTCTTGCAAGCAGGCTTTAAACTGCATACCGTCGGTTGCCGGCGTTTCTATGTCGTGCACGTTAATGTCTCCCGCGATAAGAATGTGGGTGTAGGACTTGTTCAAAGCAAACTGGAAAACGTGGTTCAGTTTGGAGTGCATTTCCGATGTTGAGTTTGTTGGGCGATAAATCAAGGCTAGTAGACATATGTCCTTGTTTCGCAACCACAGGCGGAACCAAATCGAATCAGGAGCTCGAATTTCGGTGTGGTCGATAACTTCGCATCGGACGTTTATATTCTAATAAAGAATCACACTGCCCCCATTCCGGTTCTATCGGTCCGAAGCAGCAAAATACCGCGTAAATTGATCTCAGACTCGGTTTTCTCTAGGTTTAACTGTGTCTCTGTAATCATGACGAGTTCCGCGGTTGTGAGGCATGGATTTCTCTAAGTTCGACCCACTTGCTTAGAAGGCCTTGGGTGTTTGTGTACATGCAAGATAGGGCTTTCTTTGTTAGGGGTTCATTGATAGATGTCAAGTTTGTGTTAGTTTCTAAGCCGGCCGTTAGGTGGCCGGTCATTAATCGTGTTTTGGTTTATGTATATCAGTCGTGTTGCATGGCATTATTAAGCGTTCCTGAACAGAGGTTTCACTCGTGTTGTTCTCTGTTCTCTTGTGTGCCGTGTGCGCTGTTGTGTTGGCATCTCCGCAGGACTTTGCAGATAAGTAATTTGTTGCGTTTGCAAGTTCCATTGAATTGCCTCCGACTTTTGGTCGTTCACCTGCTGCCTTTAGCCGGATATCTGTTGGCAGCCTAGCACGAAACTTTAACCAGCTATCTAACAGAACTTGCGTCATTCCGTCGGAGTGTAGTGCTACTTTAATTAGCCTTGGCCCGCAGCCATTGTAGTTAGGTGATGACGGAACTCTTGTCAGGGATTTGGCAATAATGTTGTCAACAGAGAGTGCTTCGCGGATGTAGCACGACTGCTCTCAGTCATGAGTTTGTGCATCGTGATCAGAAGAATGCAGAAGCTCAGGAACACCATGAACAAATATTATTTTCTTGCTATCCCTATTAAGAATACCGCGTTGCGCAACAGCTACTTTTGGCCGATCTTTCAAAGGTAGATCAGGTAATATGCGCACTCCGCTCGGTGAGTTGGGAAGACGAACCGCTGAGAGCAGGACAGTCTCTGTCTCATCTGCTGAGTCTAGTGTTACTCGAAGAATTGGAGATTCACCAGAGTGCACTGAGGTCGGGTGATGCGCTACGCGTTGCAGCATTGCAGGCTCAACCCGAATGCCAATCGCCTTGCAGATGGAACTCCACTGTTTGCGATCGTCTTGCAACTTGCCTTTTATTGTGCCAGATTTGGATTCGGGAACATTGGTGCACACGAGAGTTAGCGCAGCGTAGTTTTCTCTAGCGAGTGTCGGCTTTATACTTTTTGTCGACAATTCGGGTTGTTTAGAGGACAGCATTGGAGTTGACGTTGAAAGCTGCTTTGCGCCACGCGTGCTCTGTACTGAAGATGGACCTATGTGTGTCCCTCCCGGTGTGTTTGTCTAGGCAATTGATGCGTACGTTACCTGCTTGTTATCTGCACCAGATTTCCTATGGCTCTGAGCTGTCGGTGTCATTGCTGAATCTCCAAGTGAAGCCTCTATGTTTGGAGAAGTGGAAGCAGTCATGTTTGAGGCTTGCCCACTTATGGGAGTGAGGTTACCCAGTGGATTTAGAGTCACAGACCCTGCAGTGCGGTTGGAGCGTCTAGCTCTTTTCTTCGGTTTAGACTCAGAGCTTACTTTGGCCGGGTGCGGTATTATCGTGGCCATATTTACCTCCGTGGAATCGATCTTAGCATTTACAAATTGCGCGATTATTTCAGTCATCCTCACCTTGATGAGTGTACTTTGCGCTAGGGGTGACGCAAGAATTGGTCAGAACACGTACACGAATAGATAGTTGTTCAACCGCACCAAGGTCAGGCGGAGAGGCAGATGGAGGTCGTAACGCGCAGACTGTCGGATTCAGCGATCAATCGAATCGCAGTGGTACACACACACACCCACACAAAGCGGCAGCGTGCGTTAATCGGCCTGCCTTAAGCGACGATGCAGGTGGAGCGCTGATAAGCTTCCCTAGAGCTGCCTAGTTGATGAGCGGAGCAATAATGCTGTAAATTTGTTATGCTGCAACTTGCAGGAATGTTTGCCGCGTAGTTTGGGAGTCCTGAGCTTCTTCTTCCGAATGAGAACAAAATCTTTTCCGAAAGACCGGTTTGATGTAGTTACACAAGTGGAATTTACAAAGAATATATCGAAAACTGGGAACTGGAGCAAGAGTGTAACCCGCACAGGTTAGATCCAGGAGTTGGGAAGCACTGAGTAGAGCTCTTCGAACTGGTTCGAACGAGCGCACGCACAATATTGTGTGGGGAGAATTGGAATGGCCACAGAGGGCAAAGCGAGAGACGAGTTAAAGTGCAGCCGCACGGTAGGGTGTCACAACTGACCAACTTGGAGTAAACATTATCCCTGTTAAATTATTTGACAAAGTTCAAATCCATGGAAAGAATAAACATCGCAAAGCAAGCAGTGTAATCACCAGCGCTCTTCATTAAGTAGCCTTGAAAGGACAAGATATTTCTTCAATTAAAATATAAAAGCTGCTTATAAAAATCTTCCTGATAAACTTTATAGTGCTCAATCCGATCAACCCATGGGACGTATCGTGCATTCGCTATATTGCCCGTTACAATTAATCGTTATTTGAGCGCTTGCCCCACCCGTTAGTGCGAATAATTGGTCTCCCCTCACAGAGTACCCCATGCAATCGCCCTGCTGAAATTCGTCAAAACAATCAATCTACTGGATAAAGATGCTTCAGAAACAACCATTTGCAACTATCCTGAATCAGTTCCTTTTGTCAAGAACAGAACTCGATACAAATGGTAGTACGCAATGAAGCATGAGTAGTGTACAGACTATCTCCGAGGCCAGATACATGGGACAACTGCGTATACCATCGTTGTGACTGCACTCAACTACTCAACGAAGACAAGGTCGTGCATTAGCAGAACATGGCGAAAATCTTCAGCGCCAACCACAAAAATTGTACATAAGTCTTAATGGTCTTCGAACTGTGCCAGCTACTCAGTGAGCATGTTTCCTCCCATGATATGCATAGAATTCAATCCAGCAGCCATGGTTGTGGTGTAAGCTTACTTCACCATTGCTGAATTAAATTTACGCATCCAAATACGCAATTGAAATGCGCGAAGTGTCTACGAGAAGAGTGTTATTCAGAGTGTAAAGACAGTACGAAGCCTAGAATAGGGAGTTGCACGAGATGGGGCAAGAAACAGAAGCTTGTACGTCTGTGTCATACGCATGGTCTGGGCAAAGAAATTTAAACGTAAATCCTCGTTACCGAGGTTCTATAATACAAAGTAAGTACAGTAATCAAGTTACGAATAGATTTGCAATAGTAATGAGAATGAGCCGAAACAGCAAGACGTGGCAGCGTGGCAAAACGTTATAGCGGAGCAGTTTGCTAATCGGTAGACTACCAAGGATAAAATGTTTTGCAATTAAAGAGTCAAGGATATGCCAATAATGTGAAGTGAAAACGTAAAGTGTTTCATATTGCAAGTGTTAGAAGAAAACATGTATAAAATTTTGTGAGGATATTGGCGAAGGGTTTGGGTAGAAGTAAAACAGTTTGGTTGAATATTCAAAGTTTTCTTTAGACTTTACACTGTGTAAGGTGTCTCCGATTACGAGAACATCACATAATGACATACTTGATCTCTTTACATAAACATCATGTGAATTATAATTATTGTCACTCAGCACTAACGGAAACATGTGAAATCACTTTTTTGATACGAACTATACAGTATAGCAGTCCGGAGTGCCATGAAAATTTCCGTTTTAATCGCGTAGGTAACTAGTGGAATGCACCATATCTATCTATCTGACGACAACCGCTTGAACCTTTTAGCAGCAGTGTCTGTCCGTTGTACTCCTAGAATTTGCTTTGAATTTATTAGATACCACATGTTAGTGCTGTAAAACTACGCAAACTGCAAGTCTTCAAAATTAAAACGTTATTTCCATAGTTTGCTAATAAAAGTACTAACCGTTTTACAATCCCTATTAAAAAACACACTTGACCACCTAATGGGATTAAGAAAGCAGCTTTCATAATCCACCAAAAGTCGTCGTTCCTACGTCACGTTGATGGAACCTGGGATGAACAACCTGCAGCTTGTCAAGTTGCAAAACAAGGTAACGCATTTTTCCATTGTTCGAAAATAGGTGCTTGATAAGCGCAACATTTGCTTTACTGTGAATAATGTGGAATGCTTTTCACTCATACTCAGACGTAGCAATTGAAAGTGCCGCTGCTTGAAGAGGAGCTCTGACATCGCTTATGTGTTGGTTGACCAGTTTGCATGTTATACTCAAAATATTTGACAGCGGTTTGACCGTTAGGAGTCACATGGCATAGAGGTATAATTCCTCAACAATGGAAGGAAGTTAAGAAAGCATGCTAAAATTGTCAGTAGTTGAGAGTCAGCAATCCAGTCTGTTGTATAAATTAGAAATGGTGTGTGAGCAAATGATCAGCACTTGAAGGAATTGAAGCTTTAAGTTACGTATCGAACATCTTGCGCTTCCGCCGTGAATGTGAATCCACGGCTAACATGATTGGACCTATACTATCTTAGAAAATTTACGAAACATGCATTTAAATATTTCTCTGAGCAAACATATTTCAACACTGCACATTTTAATAAAGGCATCACGTACGTTGCTCCATCTGAGACAATGTTTTCACCATCTTTGCCCTCCGGAGTTCAAGATTTTCGCTATTGCAACACCTGATTTGATGGATACTTTCAAAAACAGGAATCTGTATTGTGCCAATGTTGTTAGGTAAGCATGTTTCGCCCGATTGACTGATAATGTATGTAAGCGGCTGAAGAAATACTGCGGAAGATGGACCGCGGCCACGCTTGGGATTTGAGCATCATAGTTAATTACATCTAGGGTAAACTGCGTGAACGGTTACTGATGCAACATGCATGGAATTGCCTAGGACGATCTCAATTGGCGATATCCGACACAGAATCACTAACTGAGGATTTCGAACATTTTTGCATTTAAATCGTAGTTATGCTGACCCATATTGAACAGCATTTGAATAGCTTAACATTCAAGCAGATACCGAGGTTTTGTTTCATTTCAACTATCTCCTTCAACGCAATGAACCGTTCATTTCTTCCGGTCCTGCTAAGGTGTCTGACGACGGTTGCAATATATTGGGCAAATGTAGCCACTGAAACAAAAAATTAGTCCGAAGCTAAACTCAAATTTAGGCGATAGTATGCCACTAGATGTCATGGAATTAAAAATAATTTTATTTACCACTGACGGAATTTAATATCATTGTACCTATAACGCGAATAAAGCTAAGCACTTAAGGATAAATCCACTCACTACTGCACGATATTACCGACCAACAAGGATGTCCATTTTTACCTGTGTTGCTTTTGACTCCATCAGATCTTAAGCTTTAGTAATAGTTATCTAACTAGCATTCCAACACCCTTTTCACAAAATAAAAGGTATACCAAGCATTCTTGTTTATGTTGTTGCTCTACTGGTGTTAAAAAAGAAAATGCCTACTATTCATCAAGCTTCCAGTATAAAATTAACACTAACGTACCTCCACTTTGAAAAAATATGTTTTGATGTATTTATATTAGCAGACGAAAAGCCTGTTAAATTCTTTTTAGATTTTGTTATCTTGCTTAACATTTACTAACACTCTTACTGTACCAGCGTCTCGTTTGTCTTTTAGGCCAAAACCTTACAAATCTTGTGTATACAATAGCAGATATCCTCATAAGCACTATCTTTCCTCAATTTGCATAAACTGTCATCCGGTATATTTTTGTTCTAAAGCATGTGGTTTTAATTAAATAGACCAAAGCCAGTGTGCTTCGACAGAACTTGGCCAGCAATTCATAAACGCCAATTTTGGTTTATATGTCGGTTGTACTTAATATTTATTTAGTGTTTAAGTGAAAAAGCTGAGTCTACCTCCAGTTGGCTTTCAGCATATAATGGTAATTTTTCTGCACCATGTTTAATTATATGCAGTCAATTAACCGGATCACCCCCAAAGTGGGTCGACTGAGGTATGGATGAACTCAGTCACAACAAACAAGAACTACTGGAATGAAAACCTCAAAACATTACAACTAAAATCCTGCTAATTTCGAGTAATAAAAATATAAATATCCTCTCCTAGTTTCAAAATGCTATGAATATAGCGTCCAGTGAGAGGACGTCATCACCTTGCAGGCTAACCACTGTCATTGACAGTGGTAGATAGGTGGTGCCAAATCCCAGTTAGTTTGCAAATTATGTAACCCAGCCAACGTCCCCCATGGCTCATTGACTTAAATTGCTGGCTAGTTGTCATCTGCCTCTAGCGGTCATGGGTTCGATCCTTCTTAGTGGACCGAGGAAATGCCCCCCACCTAAGAGCCCCATAGTGCGAAACGCGTCCGATGATTTTCAGGACTAGTCTCTGCCATGTAGCTTGTTAACAATTGGGATGAAAACCTCAACAAAACATGAAAGCTTTGGTTCACAAGACTTCCTTTTTCTATTAGAGTATGCCCTGTTGCTAAACACTTGTCCACATTGTTGTTGTGATTACAATACCACACATGAATCCAGGAATGTTGCAGTGACTGCGTCAAAGATTGATACTGGCCTGCACCTTGCATGGGTGAAATTTCGCACTGATTTTTATCGTTCAATAAACTGTAGTGTGAAAAGGTAGCTAAACCTAAAGTCATCTATGACGGCCGATGGAAAATAGCCCTAATAACCAGAAAAAGTAAGTACTATGTGAAACTGCTTAACCCAATTATGGTTAGCACGCGTGTTGATCATCCTGATTCCTTTAATTTCATAAAAAATGAGTAAAACTGCCTTACTGGTTGTTTAGTCAGCAAACAGGTTCTATGGGTATGAAAGCAAATTGTAATAATGATTTACTACTGCTACTTGACAGACATTTGCTTGTTGTATTATGTGAAAGAGCTGTGATACTCCACACAACATGATATGCGTTAAACAAATAACCACGAAATGGGTCTTCGCTCATGTGGAATCATTTTTGGCGTAGCTATATTTTAGCACCTACCTTATGAATTCGGAGTCCAGATCGGCTTTGTTTAAATGAACGCAGAATATTTCAAATCCGGTCATATATGCAGTGATAGAGAGGACAGTGACCCAAATCAGTCGTTAATTTGGTGTAAGATCCATTCACGTTTCCCATGCCTCTTTCACCGAGATTTTACAAAAGCGTTTCGCATATACACCATGCAACATATTCTGTGGATGTACTGATATTTAATCTGTGTAGTAGTGTTGCTTCTAAAATGTCAGAATCAGCACGTTGTCTTTATCAACTTGTACTACGGATTGTGTCTATCTACTGGTTTCAATACATATGGACGAAGGAGGACATCATTACAATTGGATCAACGCAGACGTTCTAGCAGAAGGAGAGACACGAATAGGAAGAGACTTCCTCGTAGCATGGTACTCGACAAAGCACTCGATGAACATACACATCAAGATTGACCCAGTTTACGGAGCGATAAGACTGGGAGAACTAAAACAGCTGAAAAACCGATATGAGCAGATAAATGAGCCATCGACAACACAACCGTAACAGCAGGGACAAAAGCATTCCACGCATTACTTGTATCTAGAAGAGAAGTAGGGCAGATATATGAAAGTCACAACGCACATATCGAGATCAACTGCAAAGTCACTTACTTATCCATCACAAAACAACGACCAAGTTAGCGGATTACATTTGACTCAGCAGCGTACTGATGATGTCACATCGTTTAGCGATGAAACCCTAGCTACCAGTGCATCGAGTCATTTTAGCTATTAGAAGCAAATGTTTTGTATTTTTTATATAATACAATGATCAAAAACAATTTATGAATGGAACTCCTATTTCCTTCTGTTATACACAGTGCACCGTATCGTAATTCACCAACATATGGCATTTTCCTGCACTTTACCTTGCAGGAGATTTTGGAATCTAATCGTTCATTCATGAATGTTTCAACGCATCACTTTACTTAAAACTGATAAGTGCCCGAGAAGACATGCCTAGTTTTACTCAATTCCTATTGGGGTGGATAATTCGGCTTTAATCACGTCACATGCCTCTAGTTAACACTACAGATAATTCATTAACGCACTGCAATTGCTCGATCTGCACCAGTAAATTTGTGTAATATTTTAACAAAGTTTTAAGATGGACTCGACATACACGGCTGCAACGTCGAATTTTCCACTGACACTCTGGAAGTTTATTGCATTTACAAGTCATAAGGAACAATTTTACTTCAGTACAACAGTCTCGAGCGACTATGCAGAAAAGTAAACGGAGGAAACCGTGGAGCTCTTCTTATGTAATAGAACAGTGGTACCTTGGTCAGTCCATATTCAAGAAAATATATAATGCCAATCAAAGAGCTGCAAAAATTAAAAGGATGATTAAAAGCTTTGCACAAAATGTTTTTAGAATTGGGATAAAAACTATTTGATAAATGCCTGACATAACCTTAATAGTGTTACCAAATGGGGTTAGTGTAAAATGTAGTAACATTGGAAAGCGTGTGTAAGGAAAGCCATTCCAAGTTTTAGACATTCCATGCAGTTGCGATTTTAATTTTTTCTCTTGACAGTATGCAGTCGCTGACAACCAACTTATACGACATTTTTTATTAGGCAATTTGAACTCTGCGCTCTTCCATGAAATAATAATTTTAAATGGACCCATGAAATTTGTATTTTAGTAGACCATTAATGTTAGATGCAAGGATTTTGTCTGCTGCTTAAAACTTTATTCATGCAAATGAAAACAAACACAATCAGTTTTCTGTTCACCGTCGAATTTTATCGGAATTAAATGGGATCAATGCTATTTTGACAGATTTAAGTTGCTAGTTTTTAGCAAGATATTGTGTTCAATTTCATTTCCAATTTCAAGGCACACCAATAATAAATTTTCATTTGCCGGTTGTCTAATTGTTTCGGAAGGTTGACGAGTCTATCCAAAAAATATGAGAATCCTAATTGTACAAAAGAAATAAGTTATCCGTGAGCTAAATTTCTATTAACGGAATAAACGTGATTTCAGCAGGTAAACTTGTGTTCCTCTGCACAGCTTAAAAGGCGATTTACCTTTACTGTCTGAAAGTATACCGAGTAAAATTGCACTAATTACTGTGTAATAGTTCCGCTTGCTGTTCTCCTCCACCGCATAATACTTGAGTTGATAACTTTTGTCCATTAGTATCGTGCAGTAATAGTAAGTTTCAGAATTCAACTACGCACTTTCCAAAGATACTGCAAAGTCCTCAGTTTTAGACATATCATCTACCGAATTTTAATCGATTGTGTTTTGAAAAATCAGCGGTGAACCTGCGCCACTTCATCCTTTGCAAGATGCTAATAGTTAGAATAGCTGACATAATCCTGATTTATACATTCGGTGTTAACCGGGTTATTACCATCTTGCTTGAAAAGTATGCACCACAGCCTTACAGTTTGGCACTACATATGGTCGTATTGGAACTATAGCGTTCAAACAACTGTGGAATTGACTTACGGCAAATATGCTCTCTCATTCCATGCTGAAAAATTGCTGCTGTATTCGTTGGACATTGACAACTATGTGTGACTCGACTATTATTGGGAAGTGCGAGTTCCGTTTGGGTAGAGATGTTTGTTATGATGTTGTTGACAGTCACAGGCAGGCACTGTGATCCCAGTGACAGACAGCTCCTTTTCCTGTTGCATGGTTCCCCGAGGCGCGCTGGAGACAAAAGCGGGTGGTGTGTGTGGAGAAGTGAAATGTACTGTCCGATCGAAAAAGGCATAAATTATTGCGGATTTGTATCTTGAAAGTTCATATTTAATATCACTTGCCCAGCATGTTCACTTCTTTGGCATTCAGTCGTCCGCAGTACGCAGCATTAATACAAAAAGGAATAAGGAAGAGTAACGTCAAGGAACTGAGGATTCACGTTCATCTATAAATTAGGTGACACAATTTCGCTGCACTCTCAAAGATGGTGTCGGTCAGTAAGTAATGGAACTGCTCGCATCGACGCTGTCAGTTGAATACGAGCGAAACACATGTGATTATTCTGCTTATGTTTAGGAACATCTGGTCAGCCATTAACTCTCGCACTCTCATGGATGTCTGTCATATATGTGATCAGTATTCAGGTGCGATTAACGTCTCCTAACAAGTGACATGTAAATCAACTGCGTGTTGAAAGTGCCGCGCTGTGCACAGCAATATTACTGATCACGTACCAGAGCGATAGACAGTCATGAGAACAGAAAAACAAAAGCAATGACTTATGGATACATATCCACACATCTAACTAATCGTAATTCATTTTACTAAAGCCGGTCCCACCATAGCATAGAGCAGCGATAATTATTGATCACGCCTCAGTTAACAGAGATTTTCGAGTGTAAAGAGGATCTTAGGTACTTTCTTATGCACAGCCATAATGAGACATCTGATTTCATTGAATACACTTTTTAATTCGACGAAATAAATACTCGAATCCACCGTATTTTAATCAAAGTGTAGACATGAAATATCACTAAAGCCACAGGTCCACCAATGCTAAATCTTTTAGAGGGCAGCGCATCACTACATTAGTTGCCGATTAAAATATCCTACGCAACGAACTAGAGAAGCTGGTGTATTTAACTACCGGAAAGTAGCAGGTTTTACCAAAGGTGCATCACTGCTTACATATTAACATATCATTCACCCTTTCACACTTGCAGGCGCATGTAAAAGTATAGTTGGCATTCGGTTTTCAAAACTTTGTGTCACTCAAAGGCGGTTTACAAATATTAAATGGCATGTGCGCCACGTAAGAAC